GGAAATGCACATGTGCCCATAATCCATACTTTGTCATTCATTAAAGCAAAATGATCATAAATTATTTTAATCCTGAATAGCCCTAAAGCAGAGAAACATAGAGTGCATTTATAGTTTTTCCATATGCCATTTTTACAAAGCAACATGAAACAAAAGCTGTCAAAATTTATATTTTAAAAATAATTATGCTGCTTTCACTGAGACAATAAATAATCACAAGTAATACATTCCAATTTATACTCTAAAATGACAGTGTTCATGAAGCATCACAGAAATTCAATATTCCATGCGTTATTCATGATTTTTAGACTATTGTGTTGTTATGACATTAATAACAAAATACATTATCTCTGTGCATTGAGCATCATTTTGTTGGGCCTTGCAGCATACTTTGGATAGAAAATGCAAACGTGGTCTGTTTCAAGGCAGGGATTTCAGGCCAGGACTTGCTAGTCTTAGATGACTGCCCTACCCTACTTGCTATTTTTAAGCTTCTCTCTCATCCCCCCTTCCCTTCTTGTCATAATATTTTTGAGAGGTCTTGTTTTCTCCTCGGGGTGAATAGGAAAATTCTGAAATGTTAACAATGGCTAGATGTGAGAAACATTTTATACCAAAGTCATCAGACATTTCACACATACTCCTCATCTACTCAAGACAGTTCATTGCATCATGCTCTGCACACCAATTTGTTAAGTACAGATCATTTGGATTTTGCAATTTTCCTTACTGAAAAGGAGAGCATTCTTTCCTCCACAACAGAAAGAAAAATGAAATTCTTCAGATGTTCCTTGAATCATTCTTAAAACAGAGGAAACATTTTTCTCTCAGCCTCTTCTAGGAAAATTCATCAGTCATCCTGAGAGATTGTTTTCACTTGCTATATTAAAATTCTTAAGATGGTTTAGTACTGGATGCTACACAACCTAAAGTAAAAATTATGATCTTTTCATTTGCCACTAATTGAAAGAGAAGGTCTTATTAAAATACAACTATCAGAATCTGGAAAATAAAATTGCTTAATGCTCAGTGTTCTTTCTCAGTCATCTTCAGACAGCTCTGTTCAAGATAGATGCAACTTTTGTGGATAGTTAATACCAGATACACATTTATAATCTTGTCTTTAAGAAATGCTCACATATTGCTTCACAATTTTTTTTAGATTGGGATTTTTTATATACAAGCTCACCAGATAATGGCAGCTAAAGAGCATATGCTGAAAGCTCCAATCCGTGTTCAGCTTATACACTCTAGGCACCACAAACAGTTACTTTTTCAGGGTCGGAGAGTCATTGGGATGCTTAACCAGTCAGGCTTTTTCACTAGAGACAGACACAAATAGCAGAGAGGGTACGAAAATTACAGATGAGTGCTCACTGGTGAGGAGGCAATCCCAATGTTTGGAATAGTGTGGAAGCAGAGAGCAAAACCAGCAAAGCTGCGATCTGTTTATATTCCAAAGTCCTTGCATAGGGAAACCTCCTCTTCACGTGTTGCACTTATCAGCTTGCTGTTCCCTTTCTTGGTAGTTCCCTTAGCGCTACCACAATAAACACAGACCTTAACACTGCATACCTGCAGTCCCTTTTCACCATTAGTGAAGTGCCCATGCTGGGCAATCACCTCCAAGCCTGAAAACAAGGACTTAAATGCTGTTACTTGATCAAGCTGCACACTACTCTTCTAAAAATGGCCTCAGATTTCTACTCAAATATGGGTTTTGTCAATAAAAATAAAAAAGGTTGGAATTTGTTCTCCATTAGGAAAGTCACATATGGCAGGGGTTTAAAATCAGACAGAGAGCTGAAAGGAACAACAAAATAAGAGAAGAAATGGTGTTTTTCTGGTCTGGGGTTTGTGGTGCAGGTAAAATAAGAGAAGAAATGGTTTTCTGGTCTGGGGTTTGTGGTGCAGGGTTATGGGCAGAGAAGGAAGCAGTGCCAGCTAAGAGCAGTCAGAGGTGAGAGAGTGAACATCTCGCCTGCTGTGCATACAGAGGGTTTTTCGCTTTATCCCACATGCCCTGGTTCTACGAATCTGCTTTTAGGTTAAAGCGTAGGTGTGTCTGCTGAGGAGCAGCACTTTGAAGAAGCTGTAGGTGTAGCCTGTCTGTCATTAATCAGGCTGGAGATCACTCTCACAGTCATGGAAAATGAAATGAACAGTTAGCCAGCGGGTGAAAAAACAAAGACTCATTTTTCAAATCTTCTTGCCAGATGAACAGACACCTCTTGAAGACACCACCTTTCTTGTTTTTCTTTTTCTGATTCTTAACTAATGTATCGGATATTTAAAATCTATTGTAGCCGGTGACTACCATACACAAAAATAGGATTATGCTGACAAGGTATCTCAAAGATTAAAAAGGTGAGGACGAAAGCAGAAAAAAACCATAATGACAGTTGGAACAGGTAATAATGCTGATCATAAAGTATCACTATAAATTCTTATTCTGGAGTAGGAAATTTAGTAAGTCTTTGTACTATATGCCTTTCCTTTCAGACATATTTATAGCACTGCTGCTCTGAAACATCACTGCTAGAGGTTTGAAACTTGTAAGTCCATCTTTTTAGATGCCAACAAAAATACATGCATGTTTAAAATGTATTTGGAGCACACTGATCAAACCATATGAAAATATTAATATAAGAACTCTCACTAAGTTTTCTGTGCTCTACACAAATATCAAATCCCCAGGAAATGGCTCTATAACAAGAATTAACACTGAACAGACATAGAAAATGTTGCTCAGGCTAAGTAGCCTGTTTCCACAAAATATCGCTTCCAGTTCACAGAGCCTTGTGCAAGGGAAGGCTCACAATCTCAACAGCTTAACTCCACACTAAGGAGGGGAACTTGGGGAGCAACTGATCACAACACCTCCTAGTCATTCGCACAGGAATAGTAAATACAGGAATTCTAGTTTGTCACTCTTCCATGCACATAACAGCAACATAAATGTAATCTTCTATTTTATACCTTTCTTAGCTCCAGATGAACAAAATAGAATTTTTTATCTTTCTTTGTCCCTGAGTAGAGACACAGGTGTCTGTTCCCTGATGCACATCTCCCTGAATGAGGTCTGACATTCCTTCTCTTTCATGCACATGATCTAATTATTCCCACACGCTGCTGAAAGACGCTGCAGTTTACATGCTATGAGCTGTGTCTCACAGTGTGTCTCACCAACATCTGCTCTAGCTGACTCCTGACAGCCAGCACCAGTATGTGGCATAGGGCAGCACTTATAGGCAACTGACGTGACACAGACAGTACCATCTGCATCACCTTTAAATCTTTAAAGTCAATTTCCAGCACTAAAATCACAGATGCAGTTTCTTCTACTATTCATGACCAGGCTGTGTAAACATATTTCAAAGTACAATTTAGCCCTTAATAAATTTTCAGCTTTAATGAGCAATGACTGTTCAGAGTAAATTTACGGAAAAAAACATCACATTAGTCTTTTGAATTTCGCAGTCAGAATACCATACAGTATAAACTATCATCTGCTTACAAGAATGGAGTAGCTCATAGGATGTAGGATGTCAGGAATATGTATTAGGAATACTGTATTAGAAGAAAACAGCCCACATTTTTCCTTATTTTCCTTTAAAATATGAAAGCTTTGTAAATGCACGCTTATTGAAACCTTCATTTCAAGTTAGTCATCATTGTGCTTCACTCTTCAGTTCTTTATATGCTGTGAACCTCCAGTGTCTATGCAGTTGTTTCTAAGGTAACAGATCAAGATGCCTTGTGAAAAAATGAATCAGATCTTGAATATTCAAGGCATCTCCAGTTGCAGAAATGAGAAAAGGGCAGTATCATCTCAGCTGAGGGTTCTCAATATCTTTTAGACCCTAGCTTGATTTACAGGCAACTAAAATATAATCCACCCTAAGGCCGCAAGTGCAAGAGTACAGTGGCGTATGCAGTTTCAGGCTTGTAGACTGTCAGAAATTTTTAATCAGAGCCATAATTAAGGAATTACGGAGGCTGTTCTCAACAGAGTCTGGTTGCCTCGTTGCAGGGTACACACACACAGAATACAGATGAAGAGTGTGTTTGGTAGGATTGAGCCTTCACTCACTGACAACCGCACAGAAATCTTTCTGTCAGACATGTGATGCACAAATCAAAAAATACATTAAAAATTAACATGAATCAGCATGTGAAAACAAATGCATATATATTTTTCTCAAGAGAACAAATATCTATTATTTTCCTGAAAGAAAACAAATTGATATCTTTCACAGGGATTGCCTGTGTCAATCATTTTCAGTGATGAAATTACTGGATTTTGCTGAGGATTTTTGTAGTTGGTTTGATTGTTTGTTTTCTTAAACTGGCTAGAACTACTTTCTATTTCTTTCAAAGGCTGTTTTGCTTATTATTTGAGTCCACAATTCATATAAACAGATAAATGCAAGTAAAGCTCATAAAAAGAATATTAACTGAAATATGCAATGCTTTTAGAAAGCTTTCATTACTACAAAAAAACTCCACATTAAATTCTTTGCTTAACAATATCTGACATAGATATTTATTGATATATGCACACACCCACTAACTGTGATAAAATAATCATAAGTTATTTTTTAAATGCATATCATAATGAGATCTAAAAAATCAAATTCATAGAAAAGGATCAAACTTGATAAAAACCTTCAAAGCTGTATTATTTTCCATGTCGTGTAAGGATAAGCAAAGACACAGCACCCTGGTAGCTTGAAGAGCAGACAAAAGTCACAATTATATGACTGGACAAGTTGTGACTACTTGTACCTCCTTTCCTGTCTCTGAATCCTGTGCTCTATCTACTGCATTACAAATTATTACACACTACAAATGCTTGGAATCAAAATTGTTCTGAATATTTACACAGCTTGTTTGGCAACATTCTTCAGGAACTACTCTGCATGAAGAAAATATTAACAGATTTTTGGACTTGTATCATTTAACAAACTGAAAGGCAGATGCATTGATTAGGGTCTTACGTTCTTGGAAAGATGTGAAGAGCATCTGGAATCGGCTGCTTCGACTGCCTTCATCTGCCCACATGCGGATTACACCAAGACCTGTCCGCAGCATAACATCATTAGCAACAGTGCTGCAAAACTTTGCTTTCAAATCCTCCACGGAGCTGCTTCCGTCATAGACAGCCACAAAATTCCTTTTGCATTCATTGGAATTCTGCATCTCGTAGTCCAAGAATCGCAAGTAGATCTATGAATCAACCAAACAACAAAGGCAACATGTACAGACAATTGAGAAAGACTGAAAAAAGTCAAGCAAATTTGCTCTACCTTGTAGGAGAAAGAGTACACAACACCACCATCAAAATAATTATTCTGGAGCTTGTGATCCATAGAGCACTTCCTTAGAAGGGCATTAATATGTAAACAGCACTGTTTGTACTTCCTACTATATTCTCTTGCTTCAAAGTAGAATCTATCAGAAGATCTAGATATTTTTGTGTTCTTATTCGCAATAAGATCCCAATTTCCAAATATATACCTGTCTTTCAGAAGTATGTACAACAGTTCTTCAGGCTGAAGGACATGCAAGATAGAAATTTCTTCTTTCACTGCTTGGTGCAATATTGCTCTATTAAATGACTGACATGGAAAATAATAAGGCAAATCATTGCTGCTCCCTCCCTAGAGTCAATACATGTCATCTTTATGATATGTCTCTGCTACACTAATTCAGGAAGTGAGAATCTGAGAGCCAGGCAGAACTCAATCCTTAATCCTTTTATGTTTCCTTAAGTGATTGGGCCACCATCTTGGCTCTCGTAAACAAAGTGTTATGGTATATATCTTCATAATTTAATAGGGCTGAAATACAGGGTGTTTTGTGAAAATTGCTAGAAACCTAGAAAGATTTTTAGGAAAGCTCTGTTGCATACAAGCTAAGTTGTCTCATAAAATAATAGTAGATATATTGCCCTTTGCAAAGACTCTAAATCTACCCAAAAAGAAGAAGGGGTGAGGCAAAAAGGCTATTGTTTGATATTCAAGGGATATTTGATATTGTTTGATATTTCATAGGGAAACCCACTAATTTTAAGAGCAATTGATATTACAAGAAGCACCAAGTATTCCAGTAACAGAGAAGACAAAAGCAATTGATATTACAAGCAGCGCCAAGTATTCCAGTAACAGAGAAGACAAGAAACATTTTCCATAGATACATGATATATAATCAAACTGCCAAGGGTACCCAGGAGACTTCAGGATAACGGTACAGAAAGGTGAATTAGGGCAGAAATAGTATAAAAAGACAGTAAACATATCCGGCATACAGCCTTATGCATCTTCACTTGGAAAAATAACTGGAAAAGGAATTCCACTTTGTTAGACATCAGATATGCTTCTTTCCAAAAAATTGTATTGACTTTGGATATTTTTTACATGCACATAACAATTGCTTAATAAGATTCTCTGAATTTACATAAAGTACATAAACAGTTGCAACAGGACTCACCATTTCACCTCATTAATATAATAAAGGTCTTATGGTTGAAGAATTGCATGCTATTAAGCAGTGGGACATTGTTTAATAAATTAGCTCAGGCGTTTTCATGAGCCTTTTCAGGCAGCACATTATGGTACATGTTCATTCCTTGTTATGCTTTGCAACTGGTCTCTCTGAAAAGAGTATCTGTAGAAAAAATTTTACTAGCATATGAAATTTGGTATACTAAGTTTCATTTTGTTTGCCTCACCTTTTTTCTAGTGTGTTATTTCTTACAGTATCCCTTACTTAAGTTCTGTCATTCCTATCCTTCAGAAGAACTCAGAGGAACATATTCCAGTTAAATACCAGTTAAATGAATTCTACTTCAAACATGTATCCTAGGTTTTACGTGCTATAAATTAAGGAAGCTGCTCATGTTACTCTCTACAAAATGGAAAAGTTGACAGCAATGCATAAAGAAATATTCAAACAGAAATACCTTATATTAAGGAATACTTTTTATAGTGTTTATCACTTCATTTAATAGTTGCTTCACCCCAGCAGTGGAATGATACATACTAGTGTCCTGACAGAGAGAGACTGCACATGAGGGAGGGATGTATGGGAAGAGGCAGAGCCATGATATCCACATTCAGCAACTGTTCATAGCTTGGACACACCAGAAAGCTGATTCTGTGTCCTAGAGACCAGTTGTTCCTGCTCAAAGAAAGTGTATAATAGGCACTGTGCAGCCCTGGCACCCAGGCTCTCCTGTGACACTGCTGAGACAGCCTATAGTCCCTCTCTGCTTCAGATGGGCTCTTCAGTGCTTGCCAGCTTTGTCACAGATACTGCAATAAAACCCTCCTGCAGCTGATTGTATGCAATATTGTATACACATGACTGTTTACCAGAAAACAAAGTCTGTCATATAAATGTCTCATAGAGAAAAACAGAAGCCAGACCATACAGATACACATATCAGATTTTTACCTATTCCACTTTTCGGGAAAGGTCTTATTTACTCCAGAAAAAAAATCATCTTAGTCTAACTGCAGAACAATAGTAAAGCTATACTTTACCTACTGGATGAGAGACCTCTCATGTTTGTTCATATGTTCTCTGTTTCTACCCTGCTGTCTTGTGTATATACATTTATATGTACAAGTGTATGTATGTATGTATGCATGTATGTATGTATGTATGTATATATATATATATATAAGCATACATATATCTTGTACAGGGTATCCCATTGCATTATTGAGGTGTAATTTTTATGAGTTTTCATTCTCACAAGAAATGTGTGCTGATTCTTACTGTGGTTACAAAATACCAGCTCTCACAGCAATTTCCAGCATTCATCAATTATTCCTGATCTGTTCAAAAATACTGTTCATATAACAGTACAGCCAAAATCTTATTTCTATCATCTGACATTCTCTAGTTTCTGGCAGCACACTAGGCTTATAAAATAGTAAAATATTTCTTAGACTAGCAGCTATAAATGCTGAGAAGGAATCAAGAGAATTATAACTTAGCATTTTGCTTTGAGTCTTTCAGGGAAGAAGCCAACACTTTTGGTTCTTCCTAAGCCTGAATTCTGTTGTCAGTCATACCAGGTCTTTTCTCTGTGTGAGAAATTCAGCTAACATCGTAACATATATCGACTTGATAGATACTAGAGCCACTGGAAGGAAATATTTAACTTAAAAATCTATGTTTATCCTTCAGAAGAAAGGTGCCACCTTCTCCAATGGTGTGCTTTCATAAATTAGAGAAAATAAATTCCTGATATTCTGAGTTTCATTCTCATAATCCTCTTTAGAGATGACTACTCCCAGAATTTTATATAAAGTAATGAGGACTTGATACAACACTCATTGAAATCAGTGGGTACCTTTCCATTTGCTTCTCTGGATCAGACCTTTGGATCAAGACTGCAGTGCATTTTTAAAAACTGGAAACTGATTGCACAAACTGACAACCTGATATTGGATCAGATTTTATTTTAAAAAGCTGGAATAATTTAATTGCATCTGCACGCCTCTGCCAACTTTTATGGTTTTATTACTATATATTTGCCATTGTTCCTGTCACTGACTGTAAGACCCACACTGGCAGAAGAAAATGACTAATAAATTGAGTTCCCCAGGGAAAGAATAAAACTGATTATATGACAAACTGTTATCTAATGCAGAAAGTTCCCCATACATAGCTTTGTGAAACCAGAGGAACTATTCTCATTACTTTTACTGGTATGTGGATCTCACTAAAAGAAATTCAGCAGAAAGTGAGAGAAAAATTATCAATATTTCTGGTTATTGCCTTTACAGAGATCTCAGTCATAATGTCTACCAGCAGCAGATAAGAAACTTTGTTCTCCTGAAAGAAAACAAATGAACAAAAGAGGAGGTCACAAACTCTTAACACCACCATCTGCTTTCATTACACATTTTTCACTGATGCCGACAGGAGCTTATGGAATGAACATTTCTATAGATACTGACATTAGCATAATTAGGCCATTCTTGATGAAGAGAACATCTTATTTGAAAGAAGGAGTATAACTGCCATAACTTCTTTAATATTTTTTGCAAAGTTTTAGTAAGACACTTTCCTCAAATCATCAATTCCACATCACTTAGAAGAGTGGGCTGCTCAAATACTAGATTTTCTGAGTTTTGAGGTGTCACTGAAAATGCCAATGTCATTAGCAACAAAACTGATAAAGTCTCACTGCAGCTGTGGCATATATAGTTTACCCTGGGTTGCATTATATTTTAAGTAATTGTCATGTTACCTTTAAGGTTCATAGTATCATAATGATAATAATCAAAAAGGGAAATGCTGGGTAAGTTTTACTATTTTTTTAATTTAAATTTGAAAAACAACAGAAATCTCTGACTGCATATATTAGAAAACACAACCAAAGTGATTATAGACTATGAATAATATATCACCTCAGAAAAATTGTCAGATTATAATCTCTTCATAGTGCATAAGTTTTGATGAGTTCTTCTCTTTAATCAATCACTGAAGGTTAGGGCTGACAACATGATTGATCAGGCCAGTCAGGAAAAGCTTCAAAGCATATCCCAGCATATCAGACTTAATATATGTGCACAGACACTCAGTCCCCTAAAACCAAACCAAACAAATAAAAAGCCATCGTTCAGCTGCCAAAAATAATTTAGACACAAGAGAAAAACCTTTTCTTCATCCAGGTATAAGGTCCAGATTTTGCCTATTCAGATTCTGGGTTCAGTCAATTCTCTTGTAAGCACAGAGCTGGGTTAAATCATCCTACGTGATGCTCAGTGATCAGTTACAGCACCTGCTTTATTGTGCATCTTTTACAGCTCTATGTGATTAACAAAGGACTTTCAGGATGATACCTCCAGTATTTAGGCCTGGGAAGCCGAGTTTTTTTTAAAGCAGATTGTGCAACACTGATTAATCTCCTGCAAGGCATATTACTAGCGATGCTTGAATTTGTCTTCTGAAGTGGCCTGTCCTCTTTCTCGGATCCTAAACTTTTTTTCTGTCAACATTACTTCAACCCAAAAGTGTTAACAACGCATGTTTGGAGTTTTGTTTGTTTGGTTTGGGGTGGGGTATTTTATACAGTCTGGGACCATAGTTTGGAAACAGACTCGTATTTTTCTCTCTGCTGGGGCTTGGAGAATACTGTCTGTTGAAGGTGACAGCCCTATATGGTACTTCTAAGACCCTGTGAGTCACAGCCAAGGCTCAGACATCAA